CTTTCACAGTTAGGTCTCAAATCAACCAGATTTTGATGCATGGTATGAAACGGGGCTAATTTTTCATATAAAACTACTTGAAATACCAACTCTCCTTAAAAATATACTGTTGAGCCAGGCGTGGTAGGGCACGCCTATAATCCCAGCACACGGGAGGCTGAGGCAGCAGGATTGTTGTGAGTTTGAGGCCAGCCTGGACTACAGAGTTCAAGATCAGCCTGAACTGCATAGTGAGACCCTGTCTCAAAAAGACCAAAAAAAAAAAAAAAAAACAAAACAACTAAAACTTAAAAAATAAAGAAATGAAAATATGCTCTTGTCAGGCAAAATAGTGCTACTCAGGAGGCTGAGGTAGTAGCATCACAAATGTAAGACCAGCATGAGTAACTCTGCAAGCTCCTGTCTGAAAATAAAAAAATGAAAAGGGACAGAGGCATAAGTTAGTGCTCCCTGTGTCCACTACCCAATACTACAAAAAACTCCAAAAGACTAGTTCCCTGCAGTTCCAACTTTCACATAAATCAAATGAACAAACATGTATGTGTCTGGATTCTCCACTGGGCTCCACTGGCTTATCTGTTAGTCCTAACACCACTATTTTATAGTGTTATATATATTATATTTTAATTATTTATATTATATTTAATTATTTATACTCTATAATATATTTATATTATAGTTAATATAAATATATTTATATATTTAATACAACTACTATATTTTAATTCCTGTTGAAACTTTATTCTTCCTCTCCAAAACTGCCTCAAATATTTTTATCCCTTTTATTTCCATATAAATTTGTAAATCAGCTGGCCAATATTCACACACAGAAAAAGCCTGCAGGGAATCTGATTGGGATGGCATTATCTACACAATTTAGGGAGAAATGATACCTTTAAAACAAAATTGTCCCAATATACATATGTGAAATGTTCCTCTATTTAGTTTCTTGATTTCTCTCAAGAACACTGTAGCATTATCTCTGTAAAGGGTCTCCACTCATCCAGGTATTATCACTAAATATTTAACATAGCCGGGTGTGGTGGTGCACACCTATAATCCCAGCACTTGGGAGGCTGAGGCAGGAGGATCATTGTGAGTTCGAGACCAGGAGTTCAAGGTCAGCCTGAACTGCATAATGAAACCCTGTCTCAGAAAGATAAAGAGAACTAAGACAATAAATAGTTAACATACCTTTGTGCTATTGGAAATTTATTTTTTCTTTTAAATTTCAATCTCTAGCTTTTGCCCTACCAATATAACTTCTTGTAAATGTTCTGCAGGTGGTTTAATGTTCAGCCAGGAGGAGTAATTCCAACCACAGTGATGAATAAAGGAAGGATAAATATATTTTCCCCTATTCTTATCTCTAACCTAACCTCTGTGTGACAATCTTTTGGCAGTGTCACCTTGGCAGCCCAACAGCTATTTCACAATTTTTATAGAAGGCTGAAGTTTTACCAAACTACTTGTGGTTTCACTCCAGGCTGTGCAGGGCTTTGTCATATTTAGTACTCCGGTGCCTGGCACGGTACCAATCACCTAGACGGCACACAATGAACATTTGTTGGATGATGACTGAACTGTGTGACCACAGGCAAGTAACTTATTTATTTTGTTTTGGGGGGCTGGGGATTTAACTCAGCGGCAAAGCACCTGCCTGGCAAGTGCAAGGTCGTGAGTTCGGTTCCCGGTACCGGAGAAAAACCAAAAAAAAAGAAACAACAACAACTATTTTGTTTGGGCTTCAGTTTTCTTATAGGAGAATGAGGCAGCTGTGCTGTGTCAATCAGGTGGCTGCTGAAACATTTTCAAACAAATGGGAAAATTGTTTTCAAGCTGTCCAGTGCTACGCAGTAAAGTGCCATTAACCTCCATCCATGTACCAATGCCGCAAAGACTCACCTCCTCAGGTTAAAAGGAAAAATAAAAAATAAAAAAGCCAGCTGTTCTCAGATCGGCCCTACAGACAAACTACTGGGGAGAGGCTGACTAACACATCCAAGGCATTCACAGAAATGCCCAGCACATCTTCAGCATCAAGTTGAAAAGGAGGCTTCCACAGGCTCACAGTGAAGGACGCTGAAAACCAAAACGACTTTTACAGTACAGCTGGACAGAAGCTGCATTTAATGTCTACCCATGAAAACAGACTTGGCAAAAGAAGACAGGCACTCAGAACATCTCCTGCAGAAGTTAACAAGAATTTAACTTCACCTCCAAGCCATCTGGAAAAGGATTCATGGGAAGCATTTTATGAGGCATAAATGAGATCTCATGACTGAGGGAGTGGGAAGACAGCACATCAGACGGGAATGGCCAACACCAACCAAGATGGCGCCCGCACACCGTACTTCTCTAAGAAGGGCGGCTCTACTTTTCTGCCAACATGTGCTTTTGCCATCTGAATAGAAGGGGACTCTTTCCTGTTTATCATGCACATCTTCTAGTCTTACCCAGGGTCACTTTTTCCTTTCAATAATTCCATTCTAAAAAGAGCCATCCAATTCTAATTTTTTCTTTCTTTTCTTTTTCTTTCCCAATTAGATCCCTATCTGGCAGCCTTAAAACGTTCCACCTTTTCCATTTTCACCAAAATGTACCTCACATGCTGTCTACTGTGTGTGCGTCAACACAATAACGAAATTCTGGGAGAGATCTGTCAAAGCTCAGTCTTCACAATTCTCTCCAGATGGAAGATTAAAAACAAAAATGGTTCAACTACTTGAGCTGGCTGGCATTCCGGCAGCCCCTTCCAATCAATTTCTCATTTTTATCTTCTTAGGAACTTTCATTAGCCCTAAAATTTAAATGGGAACACAACAATGAATACACAATTTCTCACTTTTTTTACATGCAATACTGGGGATTGAACCCAGGAAGTGCTGGATTACATCTTTTTATTTTGAAACAGGGTCTCACTCAGCTACCCAGGTTGAGCTAGAACTTGCAATCCTCCTGTCTCAGCCTTCTGAGTAGGTCGGATTATAGCATGCTGGCTCTCACATACTGTGGAAAGAAGGCAATCACTTGCAACTAACGGTGCAAGTGGCTTGCTGCCTTACTTAACATACACCCACGGAAGGGCCCCAACGACATTCCACTCAACTCCCAAACTAGGTGATTCCATGTGAGTTACTGGATATGAACCTAAAACAATCATGAAAGATGGTAAGGGGAATGGAAAAATGGGACTCCAAGAAAAAGAATAACTATTTTAAAGTACGGATCATCACCCGTGCCCACCTGGTAAGAGGCAGCAGTCTCCTGTGACATTCTAGAACTCAGTCTGTCACTTTCCAAGGTTCATTTAGCATTTGAGTCACTATTCAAGTTGTGCACATCAATTTATTCTGTTCCAGATGAAGAAATCCTTATAAATTATACCAGTCACTCACGTCCTGCAGTTTGTACCATTATCAGAATCCTCAACAGCTACACGAGTATTTTACAAGAGGATAATGCAAGCCTTGAACTGTTTCTTAATTTCTGTACTGATTTTTATCTGAAAGATGTAGAGAATATCTGCCTTTACTATCACTTAGCAGTAAAGTTCCCACATATTGTCCCTCTCCTGCACAGAAAAATACTAATGCAAGGCCAAAAACAATTTTTTTAATTGCTGGGGAAATATCAGTGCTGAAATCAAAGAAAAGAAGCAAGAACTAGTACCTGAAAAAATATGAAATGTCTCAAGTGATTACTCTTATTTCTCAACTTTCAGGTAAAAAAAAAATTCTAGATATTAAATACTTAAAGCACCAAGGTGGAAATAAAAAGGTCTGGATCCCAGCCCTCCTGATTCAGGGGTTAGCCTGGATCAACCACAAACCCGGTCTTCGACTTCCTCCCCTGTTAAAATGCATGTTAGCTCCGTATGTTGCGCATAAGGCTATCTTGAGGGATGAGGATTCATAGGAGAATGAAATAGAAAGCACCATGCTATGCTAGATAGTCTCATTAAAAGCCAGCTCTGGGGAAGCAGAACGGAACCACGAAATTCACACGAAGACCACCTGCATTCAAACCCTATCTGCACACTTTCGAGCTGCTCGTTTGTGTAACGAGTGTTTCAGGTCTCGGTTTTGCCCTCTGCCAAGCGAGAGAATGTTCATGATCTCCTGGACTTGTGCGGATTAAAGAACACTGCACATGAGAGGCACTGGGTATATTCAGCGGTGGATGTTAGTGCCCTATCATAAAGCAGGTTTTTCTGTAAAAATTATAATAATAATAATTATTACTATTTTCCTTTTCAAATTTGGCGTTAGTTCTATGTAAGGATCCTGGGATTCTGCTTCTGTTTGCACAAAAGCTTTTCAGTGATAAGCCTTAAGAAATACAATCCCATTATTCAGAAACTACCGTTTCAGAGCTGTAATTTGTCTCCCAAGCTCAAAACAAAACCCAGAATATGCTTCACTCCACGGAAAAGCACATGATTTCCAGCCTGGCACAACTTGGGCTTTTTACATTTCACGCTAACAAACCACGAGCTGTTAGGAACACGCTTCCACCAAGCACATGACCCCACAATCTGAAGTCCCACTCTGAGTTCGTTTTTCGTCTCACGCTCTGCAGAACATCGCCTATTTGAAAAGCACCTAGATTTCTGGAGGCTAAAAGCCTGCCTCACTTGCACAGCCGTGGATCATCAATCACCGCTTCTGTCCAGAAGCGGAGGCGATCCTCCTGGGAGCAAGGGAGCGGTTCGCGTGTGCAATTAAAGCCACCAACATGGCTGCTCCCAGCGGGAGGTAATAATGCTACTTATCTCTTCCCGTTTCCCCAGCCTAAATTAAGAGGTTGACAGGAAGGCCTCCTGAACAGCAGGAGTTTCCACCGCAGGAAGGACTGCGCTGCATTCCTGCAGGTCGCTTTTCAACTCACCACCCGGCGCGCACCACCTCTCCTGCTAGGTGGAAAGACCCCAGGTGGGTTGTGACCTTTCACCTGGGGTTGCAGGAGCCAGGCACCCCCCTCCCACACACACACCTTACCCTGGCTGGAGTTCCCGATCGTCTCAGCCCCGCCGGCCCCCACGCGACCCGACACCAGCAGGGCCAGGAGCAGCAGCCGCAGGAGCCCCATCGCCGCCTGGGCCGGCCGGGCCCGCGCTCAGGTCTGGAGGGGC